GCCTCATGCACAAGTACAGGCTGGGGGCTGACCTGCCTGAAAGCAGCATCTGTGGAGAAGGACCCAGGGGATCTTGGTGGACTTTAGGCTGACCATGAGCCAGCAAAGTGCCCTTGTGGCCAAGGAGGCTGGTAGTATCCTGTTGGTATAGCATAGACATTAGCATTTCTTTATGGGCACTTGCTAAGAATGTATCGGTATAATCTCTGCTCCAGGATATTTACAGCATTATGGATTATACTGGACTTTTGGAGATCCAGGGTGTTTGTAGGAAAGACAGAATAAAAGCAAACGTATATTTATCTTAATAAATCCTCCAGCCACCTATGCTATTTTTTATATTCTTTTCTTAATAGGCAATTCTCTGTCTTTTGGTTTGATGTCTTTTTAATAAAGTCAAATAAAATCTTGAACAGGTTAGATGGGAATGATATCATATATTAAAGAGGTTTTTGAAAGAGACAGATGTGATAACAGTAGAGAAATGGTAGGCCCTGAGGCATTGGTTTGATGGATTATGCTCTACTTCATGGAGTGAAGAAAGAGAGAAAGAAAGATTAATTTTAGGAAGGAATAGAACTTGTGAGAATTATATGTTGGACAGATTTATAGATAATCTGGTGGAGAACAATGTGGTTTTAAAGGCCAGAAGAACCTAGAGAAGATAGGAGGCTGGAGCTGCCATACCTCCACACCTGCTTTCTGATGACAATTCTCCCATAGGTCATTTAAATGTTTTTGAAGGCACCATCCACTGTTGTTAAGGAGGAGGTACAGTTCTCTCTCAATTTCTGTAAATGCCACAGGAAGCAAATATGGTAAGTTAAGCTTATGAACATATTTTCTGAATATCTAGTGAGAAGCTCTTTAGTCAGCCAGAAATACTTAGAGCATAGTTGAAAATATTGTTTAATAGTTCTGATCTTTTTATAGTAAGGGTGATAGCTTGTCAGTTGCTCTGTATAATATACTTAATTCTTTTTAATATTTAAGCTTCATGTTCATATAACATAATATAAAGTGAGATTAATCCGTTTACACTCTATAAGATACTGTTATGGGTAGAGGAGTAATTTAGTAATTCACTATTTTCTAAAACTGATTCAAAACTAATAATTTTATAAAATGTTTAGGGTTTCAGACTTGTGAATACTCTGAAATTAAATAACACTGAATATGCTTCATTTTTATCTCCTAAAAGAATGAAATATATGTACATTTTCTGAAGTGTTCACTGATTTTGTAAAATAAATTAATTTAGGAAGAAGTGCCTTTAGTTTAAGCAGTAATTCATAAATAGTGGGTGATTCCTACTGTTGCTTCCATCTAATGCTTTCAGCAGAAAAGATTATAATAGTTCAGAACCCCCTGCTAACATTTCTGAGAGACATGTAAATAGAGCATCTCATTTTCAGCTGCCTTAGATATTTCTAGCATTTACTTTCTAAGGGCTGGAAAAGTCTCTGAAATACTCGCATGGCATGCGAGTTAAGATGTGGGTCAGAACAGGAGTGTAATGACCTTAGAATACCTGTGCTGCTCTTCAGTTCAGGAGGGCACAAAAGTGATTTGCATTGAAAACCTTGTCATTCACATTAGCAATCCCATTCCATGACACAGTTTTTGACATTTTTTCTTCTAGGAATGTTTGAGAAACACATTTCAGAAAGTTATCAAAACGTTTTTATACTCTATTTCAAATTTTGTTATCCTTACCTAGAGCTGCTGTTTACCCAAGTAGTCCATTTGCTAGAGTTGCAATGTTTTCTCTGATCATCTTATTAAAGATGATATTCATAATGCTGAAAGGGAAGAAAAATATTTGTCTTTCATTAAAACGTTCAATGCAATTCATATATATACATTTCTGAGATTTCAAGATTTAAATTTGTTATTTGAAAATGTGATGAAATGAAATCTGGAAGTCTCGAAAGTACTGTGAAGAGTACTTTTCTGATCAATAAACATATACACCTCTCAGAGAGCTTCTTTCCTCAGCAGATCCTCCACAGTAATGAACTTACTTGTCTTGGTAATTTCCCTTACTCTATTGTTATATTGTGGCTCTGCTTAAATAGATAAAAATTAAGATAAAACAAGAAGTAGGTTACAAAAACAAAAACAAATCTGACAAACATAACTTACAAATTATGAAAATATATTGATTTATATAATAATATCTTAAAAAGATTCTTAGAAGTAAAATTGCAAATGAAGAATATACACATACTGACTTGGGAAAAAAATCATTTGGAATAGATGCAGTATTATTTAAATAGATGCTATTGTAAGAAAATCTGTTGTGTTTGGCATCTGAAGATGCTGCAAAAGGCATGAATTGTCTGTTGGTGGAATAATCTCTTGTTTTTAAATTATGTTCTTAGCTTTTTCCTGTTAGCAATTTTCTAAATGTACATACATCATTGGACAAGATAAAACCTTAAAACAATGAGAGGTGCTCTAAAAAAAGCATTTTAAATTTCAAATTTGTCATTGCTATCATTAATTTATGAAATCTTGTTCCTGATATTTCAGAACAAACTTTTATTTTCAATCCATACTCTAGTTGTTTCAAAATTAATTGAGATATATGTTTAACTACAGATAATAGCTGTAATTAACTGCAACTTATAACTTTTTTTTTTTTGAAATAATGCCTTAGAAAGTAGGAATTTACAGCTCAAGAGTAGGAGATCTTGAATGAAAGCGCAGGATTCAGTAGACATGGCAGTTGGATTTTTATCTAGTCTGCTGTCTGGAATCCCAAGAAGCAGGAGAACAAAACACCCCTGTCTTGAAGCTTGGTTTCATAGCATAGAACCACAAGGAACTGCCACCTCTTCTAATCGTGAAAATTCCTATGTCAAAAACCGTTCAGAAAGACTGGACTCTGTCAATAGCAATAATTGTGACTGATCTCGCAATGGGCAGAGTCGTGCTACAGCCAGAAGGCCACTTATCTTATGTATTGGACATTTGAATATGTTTAAACAGTTCATAAACATCATTCTTATGCTAACGTGCTATGATTCCAATGTGATAATCCTGAGCAGGTGATACCTTTAATGAAAAATAGGCACTGTAGATCAAATTAATGAGGCTTAATCATATGATTTTCTGTGCAGTGCTTTGTGCATTTCAGATTGTAGGGTTGTTTCATTGCTTAGTATAACTGTATTTTTTATCTATTAGTATGACCCTTATTTTGCTCTAATGAAATATACCAACTGGCAATCTACACATAAAATACGTGCCTCTTATAGCTAAAAGTCTGCTTTTTGACTGTATTGAAAATGCAGTATATTGTCCAAATGTTTCCATTAATAATGAATAGTTCTCCCAATTTCTTGAGCTATAATTAAACATGTTTTTTTCTAATGCACAAATTGGACACTTTTATTTCTCTCAGTGCCAAGCTTCTTCCAGTCAAGAGCTACCTTCCTGCTGTAGATATGAAGAATGATCTGCTACCTCTTAAGATAATGATAACCTAAAAGGCTAAAAGGTTCTAGGATTTATGTTTCCAGTTAGAACTTTTTAATAGTGTGTGGAAATGATTTATTTGTTTCTTCTTCTAAGTGGGTATTATGATGCCTTGAGACAGTGCTTTTTCAGTAGATTAATTTGTCTCCTGTTCCCTTAATTCATAAAAATAAAAGAAAGACCTAGGCCCGCAATATTTTTTTTCTTATTTAGGCTAATCTCACCAATAGGAAAAAAAAAATCCTAATTTTTGAGCAGACTTTCTATTTCCAGATTTTTCTCAATCTATTCTATTCTATCTCCCCTGAAAGCTGCAGGTTCTTAAATACTCTTTGGTGTAATAATATTCCGAACATAGTACCTTATGCTACATTAGAAAAAATATATATTTCTCTTAATATGTATGAGTTTTTCAGACAAATGTTATATAACTCAATGTGTGTGAGAATTATGAAATGCTGTAGCTTAATCCATTTTTCTGAAAACCACTTTAATTTTTTATAAATAACTTATATTTACGAGATTTTCAATACATCTGCTCCAGCAGACTGGAGGCAGGACATGGGACATACATACGGTCGAAGTTGTCCTAGTGTCCTGTGGTCACTGGAGAGAAGCAAATGGTTCTGTCGTTCTGAGAAGTGAAGTAGCTAAGACACTGCTGTGCTTATTCTGCTACATGTGTGGGCAATTTCTGACCCTGGAGCCAGTTGCCATAGCCTGGTTTGCAGCTACATGGATTAGGATGTGACTCCTTTAGGGCAGAATACCCAGCAATTGACCATGGATCGCCTCTAGGACCTCTGTGGTGCCCTGAAGACATAATTATCATTTAATGCACGGGACTCTGGTGTGTCTTTTTACATGTTTATTTTGGTGTTTATTTTATTTTGGTTTGGTTTGGTTTTGCTCTGCATTTGAAGAGTTTGAAACACTATGAATGACATGGCAGCCCACCAGAGTGGTGTTTGTGTAGCATGAAACTGGGAGCAGCTGTTTCCTCACTGGACTGGGTGAAGACACGTGGAAGGTGTTCGAGGATGCACAGCCTGCTCTGGTCGTGTTTCAGGATGTTAGAGGGGGATATATCTGGGAACAGTTTCTGCAGTGAATGATCCCCCTGATCCTTGCTCCGTTCTCATCTTGAAGAGAGCCAAGGTGCAATCAAAACTAGCCAGGAAGTAACCATGAGGCAGCGTGGAAAATGAGAGCTCTAGTGCTTGACCTCACTGCCTGGATGCCTTTTGCTTAGTAGTGTGGACATACCCAGAGAGCTAAGTCCTGCTCTGGATCCTCACTTCAAGGAAATGAATGAAGCGCCTTATTCCAGAGCCTCCCGACTGTGTGTTTCTATTATAAGCAGGTGCATCTGAGTGAAGAATTTTACCAAATACCTGCATTTCCTGTGTTTGTACTGCTGTGATAAAACTCAGGCTATTTGGAGCAAATATTTTAGTTGCATTTGTATTAAAACTATAATGTGTTTATTGAGATTTTTTTTCTTTTTTCCTCTGCAGCTGTGACTCTGAGAATAGGTATCTTGGAAATCCACTTAGGGGAACATGTTACTGTGAGTACTTATGTTTTGCATGTTTACTTTTTAAATGCTATTTATGTACTATGTTACAATTTAATTTCCAATGTCAAACAAACTAAATATTCTTCTGAGGAATTTCTGAGATTGGGGCAACTCTCAAAAATTACATTGGAGGAAAAAAAAAATGCTACTCTGGACTTGTCTTGCTGTCTTTGTCCACAGGAAAGTACTGAAACCTACTGCAAGTTCATTTCTTATGTGTATGCCAGAGTGAATGATCAAACCATTGCATTGCACTCTATTTCAGCGTATGTGAACAAAAGGAATATGCAGTTGTGCCCTTGTTTGAGAGACAGAATTTGTAATAGCAAAATAGAAATAAGCTAAACGGCAGCATTTCCTAGTCACATTCTGCATGGTTTAGGCAGTCAGTACATGTCCCAGGAACATGGTCCACAGCTGAACTCCAGTATGCTCTAAAATGAATGTTAAATAGTAATTTTAATAATCATTTGAAATGTATGTGGTATTACAGTACACTGACTTTCATCTTGCAACTTTTGCACATACCCTCTCAGCATCCGACAATTGGATCCAATTGCCTACTATTTCCAAATGCCATCCCCTATCTTGACCTTTAATTATGTAGTGAAGTACCTCTTAATAAATTTTGATCTCTGGCAAAATATTTTAACATTTCTTTCTAGAGTCTATAAATGTTTTATAGTCTCTTGATGACATCGTTTACCTTTTTACCTTTAAACCTTTTTACTTTTTATCATCATTACCATTTTCTTTACTATATATTTAATTTTTAACTTAAATGCTTTCCATCTGCAAAGTATGTTTTACAAAATGTAGTCTGTGTTACAGATACTGTCATATCTGTAGGTCTAAAACATTAATTCCTTTTGCTAATTATTAAATATATATATATTATTTTCCATTTTCTGTTTAATGGGTAGAAGTTCATTTTTAAATAATGTATTTCCAAGATACATGTTGATATAATAAATAGGCTGTTTCTTAAAATAGATCTAATTAGACTTGAAAATACTCCTTAAAACTGTGTCCTTCAAAAACTGTTCATCAAATAAATTTAATTGCATTTGTTATATATCGCTATTGTAAATTCTTCTATTTTGAAATAGAGATTCCAGTTGTTAAAGGATTGGATACTTGTACATATTCGTTTTAGAAATTACATAGATTCAAAGCTAGATAATGAGTAGATCAGAAGAGTGATCTGTAAAAAAAAGTACTACAAAAAACATTTTGAAAATGTCCATTAACATCTGTTTTCTCTTTTTAAAAATAAACATTATTAAACCTAAGAGGTGCAAAAGAAATGACAAGAATGAGATTTGTACACCTCAGGTGCCTCCAAGAAATATCTTATTTTTTGCTATCATTTTGAAGATTTGGTCTATAAATCATTTTGGAGACAGTTTGCACTGTATTCAAGATGACCTTTAACTCTCTACTGTTGTTTGTCTTCTTTCATATTTCAAAAAATTTTAAAGATTTTGGAATGATAAATCTTTTTTTAATAATAGCAGTAATAAAAGAAAATGTATATGAAAAAAGCTCAGAGTTTTAATAGTTGGAGGTAATCAGAAGTCGGTGCTAATTTCAAATAATGAATTGCTTTATTTCTTATACTTAATGACCAATGCATCATAATAAGAAATTATTCATATGAATTTGTGGGTAACTGACGGGCCTAAGATTTCAGTGGCAATTGGATATTGGTACTGTAGGTTACCTAGTAAATACGTTTTTTTAAATGTTTGCTATAGAGATGCTCAAATTCCTTACCTGTGTAAGTATAAAGTAAATTTAAGTTTAAAATATAACTTTACCATGAGTTATAATTTTATAAGAAAATGAGACGTGCAGTAGACAAACATGAGGGCAGTATTTTCCTATGTTCATTTCAATACTGTGGGAGAGAGCAATTTATCTAAATGCAGAAACTAAGAAAAAAGGTTAAATACAGATAGCAACAATGTCATCAAATCCTAGAAGCAATAGAGCAGGAAGATGAGAATAAAATCAAAACTCATATAGAGATCTACAGATTAGGAAAATACTAAATATGTAAGAGTATAATAGCACCTATGGCTGAAATGAAAGCCTTGGGAAGGATATACCACCCGGACAAGCATGCTGTGATGTATCCCCTAAATGATATGATTACATCCAACAATTTGCAGCTCAGGAACTTCATGAGAAGAAGAGTTTCCTAAGTCAGAAATGTTTGATATATGTTTAGGAATACCAAAGAAGCCTTACAAAGATTTCTTATAAATAAATAGGGAGGAGAGCATCATTACAAAGGAAAGACTTGCATGAATTTAAAAGCCACAGAATTTTGTGGGGAGATGGAGGGAAAAGAAGAGGGCTTTGTAAATAATCTGGTGGGTCAGGTAAAAGTCTGCTGGGTTGTGCCTCTGTATTTCTAGTAGGAAAGCCATGTATCCCTTTCTGTTACAAGGCAGTCTTTCAGTGAATGATCACAAACTGATTCAAGCCCTATAAATGATTCTGAGTGAAGGCCAGAGAAGGTTGTGCAGTTGACTTAAGCACGTACAAAACACATAAATAGAGCATTTTGTCATGAGGCTCCTGTATGTGGTGGTATTACTGTTCTTTGGTGTCTCGGCCAATGTGATGTATAACTGTGACACCTGGATAGCAAAGGATCGGGCGTTCAGTTTGCTAGATTAGTTCTTCACAAATCAGCATTAGAAATACACTGCTTTCAGAATCAGTGCTTCTGGGTGCAAAGAAGCAGGCCACAAAACTAGGTGATTTTGGACTGATTGGGAATAATTACTGGAATTAATACCACTTTCTTGATTCTGACACACGTTGTATTTAAACATGATGTTTTAATTCGTAAACAGATAAATAGTTAAACCTGTGTTCTAGAAAAAAGGGGTTTAAATTTGCAATAAATGGCAAATTATTATACAAATGAGGTAAATTCATGGGAAACTTCAGCCCTTTACCTAGGGCTGTTACCTTTACCTGTTACCTTTTTTTTTTTTTTTTTTTTTTTTTTTTTTTTTTTTTTTTTTTTAGTAAAGGAACCTTTTTTT